ACTAAATTCTTGTTCTTGCAAATAATCTCTTGAGACTGCAAATTGCTATAATTACTGAAAAAATACTAAATATCAATCTGAAATTGAAAATTGGGACTTAATTGCTTTCATGCTTACTCGCTATACATAATAGTACAAATTATTTCATTGGATAACCCATATCTATGAATTTTACATAAAATATTTGACAATACCTCTTTTGCATATAATCTCTAGATACAGTTTGTTATGTTTTGTACTGATTTTATAACATACGAGTTCCTTTTTCCAGAACTTAAAAAAAAAAAAACTTTTCCTGCCTTGTTCACCTTGCTATCCTATTTTGGCGCGGAACATTTTCCCTGATCTCGTACCACGAGATAATCTACTTGTTTTTCCATTTAATAAAAAGTTACACTTGTTTTGGGGGGGGGAAAAAAAAAAAAACTTTTCCCACCTTGTTCACCTTGCTATCCTACCAAAAAGAAGTGAAGTTTTGTTGAAATCGGTTGAAAAATGTAGATAGCCTTTCTCTGTAATCTTTTACAATTTATGATTTTTACTTATTGAATACAGTAAAAAAAATTGCATATTTTGCTTGTGGTGATTCATAATTAGAATTCTGATTTGAATATATTTTCCACTCGTTGTTTCTAATACAAAAAATAACTTTATTTGGGTTTATTAATTTATTACAAGTACTGTGTTCTTTCCTTAATAATTATCATCTTCGAAATATTGTTGTTTTTTGTCTATCAGATTTCTTCGTCAGCATTTTTTAAATTATTTCTTAATACTTTCTTTTAAATATTGAATTAATTTCAAATAGAACCAATGCCTTATTGATCTGCCTTGTAACAAATTGCAAAGGGAATTGAAAAAACGGCCCTAAAGTACGTGGAATTATCTTTTCCTATTTTATCAAATTGAAAAAATGATTGATTATCTGTCCTTTTTTTTTTTTTTTTTTTTTTTGACCAAAAAAAAAAAACATTTTTTCTGAAAATTTCGGACGTGCTAAGAACGATTAAAAATGTAAAAAAAATACCCTAAAATACTTTGATCTTTCCTCTTTAATAATAATATGAACATTAGGCGATAAAATTTTGTTTTCGTCAAGTTCGGGTTTTTTTTTTTCATCATGCTATGCTCTTTTGTTTACGTTTTCGTGGGTGAGTTGTCCCCCTTTCATTCTCACGATGTGTCTTAATCGTGTTTTAAAATTGATTTTGTTTAAAAAACAATGTGTTTTTCCCATTTTCGGTGCCGTTAGAACCACCACAAGGTAATTTTATGTAGTCCTGTGAAGTTTTGTTGAAATCGGCTAAAAAATGTAGGAAATTCGATCCAATATATAAACGTTACAGACACACACACACACACACAATCTGCGTTTTATAATAAGTAAGATTTATGTTATAATTTTTAAATAAATAATTATATTCGCTCTACTCTGTATTGAGCACTCTTTTAAGAATAGTAATTGTTGTTTATTGGAATTTATTCTGTATACACCAATCCTATACTTGTGTGTGTGTATATATATGCTTGAATTATTATAGACTTTTTTTTTTTTTTTTTTTTTTTTTCAGGGTAAGCAAATTCAGAAACAACATTGATTAGTTGAAGTTTTCATTTTTTTATATTGTTGGTGGTGACCTTGTTGGGTTTTTTTAGGGTTCTTTTGTGATAACTGATAAATTTAATTCTTTTATCATTAGGTGATATGTATCTATGATATTAGGTTTCTTATAGGTTTTTTGTTTTTTTTTGTCTAGTTTCTCAGTACTGTGTACTTGTTTCATGTAGAATAGTTTAATGGTGTTTTTTTACATTATTGTTATTTGTATTTTTACTTGATTTTATTTTTTCTAAAGTTTGTTTATTAATTATATCGTTACAGAAATTATTAATTAATGGTTTTATGTTTTTGGGTTCATTAAAAATATTTTGTCTATGGTGGATATTAAATGTGCTTTATTTATAATGGCTATTTTGTATCATTGGTCATTCACTCTTATAAGTCAAGGTATAGGTCCAAGTTTGTTTTTTTTTTGTTTTTTTTTTTAGAGGGGATCTAAATGTTTCATTATTCAAATTAGCATGTTTAAAAAGGGATTCTGTTCATTTGTGAAATTAAGGATCAAGTTATTTTTCAAAGATTGTTCTCAGATTTTTTGACTTCGTTTCTATCAGTCAATGTCATCAATGTAGTGGGTCTAGATTTTAATTTAAGGTCTTTTTTATTTTTTATTATTTTTTTTTTCTCAAATTTTTTTTCTCGGGTTGACCTGTAAAATTCTGATAGTGCTAGAGTGATAGACAACACCATCAGTTTGTGTGCATATCTTTCCTAAATGGTTGTAAATAGGAACTTGTGTTCTGCAGGCTAGTAGTAGTTTTTTGTTTTTAGAATTGTTGGTTGTTTTATTTTTGGAGGTGAAAGTGATGTTTATAAGTGTTTACAGATATAAACTGACATATGATGACATAATATGGTAAAAGAAAATTGACATGTAACTTTAAAAAATTATGAAACTGACCTAGCACAAAAGAAAACAAAATCTCTTTCATAAATAATGGCTTATGAATGCCAAAAGTACTCAACCATTGAACAATTTATATTTAAATATGTACCAGAAACCAGGAAACTGGTCTGAAATATAGAAAAAATAAGCAAAATCTTAAAGAAGAACCTTCTTGTATAGATGGAAAATTGCTGTCCTTATGAGGTGGAATGGAAAATATTAAAAAAAGCATTTTCATGTAAAACTGGGTCTAAGAGGTATGAATTATAGAATTCCTCAATCAGGACAAATTATTGAATAAAACATCAGAATTCCTTTCCAAGTGTAGTCATGAAGGCAAGTGTCTACTCTGCTGTTTACCCCTTGACTCAGAAATTTATATTTTTATGTCATAAAAATCCAACCTGCATATTTACTGTGTCTCTGAAAATTACCTAGCATGAAACTGACAGTTGTGCTTACTACTTAATTCATTTTATAATTATATAGGTACCCCCATGAGATCACTAAAAAATCAGCCTACAGTATTTTGATTATTTAATTAAATTTTCAACTCCTTTTTAGAATCCGTCTATATTTCTGAGATGTAGTATTATGTACACTATTTATATTGTTCAGACTATCATCCTCATTTTTGTTGCCATATTTATCACATTTCAGCCATTTTACATTCATTGGAATGTCAAACTGAATCCTTAGACTGTTCTAGTTTCACGTACCATGTCTAATAGATGTTATTAGTTATCTCCTGTTAATTCCCCTCTCCAAGTTCTCCACCTTAACCAGGTATTGAACTTACACTCTTTAGGTCCTGTCACTGGATCTAACCAACACCTTTATCCACTGTGCCATGTGTCCTTGAGAATATGAAGGTATGAATTTCTGGGTATTATAAACCTAATGTCTCAGCAACATTTTTTTACCAGCGCTCATATTGCAATTTTTGCTGTTATCATACTATGTTTTTACCAGAACTCATATTGTGATTTTCATTGTTATTGCTTTTCTCTGGCTCTCCTTATTACTGGTTCCCATATTGTATTAATTTCTATGCTTGGTCTGCTCAGGAGATTTTTGTGGCCAAGCATATGTGCTGATTCCTTAAGTTTACAAATTTTCCAATGATGTTCTTTGTCTATGATTTCAACTTGATCTCACAAAGAACATTCAGAATTTTGATTAAAAAATCTTGTTTCTCTTATGTTAGCAGTTGTACTAACTTTTAGAATAGCAAATTTTCACCGCTTTTTTTTGCATTGACAGTCGCATTAATTTGGAAATTTTTGCAAAAATCAAATAATTGTTGAATTTTAATGAAATTTTCAGGACTTATTCACAAACAAATGAAATTATTTTTGAAATTTTTTTTATTAGAAAATCTTGGTAAAAAAATATTTTTCATTTTACATGTGTTTCTCCTCTTACTTAATTTTATGAAAGCATGAGAAATTCATCAAGATAATTTTTAGTGACTATATTAGTTAAAAGCAGAATTTTTTTTGAAGAATTTAAGTCATTGATATTTTTTTTCTTACCAAAAGTCTGTTCTGAATTGAAAAATAAAACACCCAATAAAACTAAGATATTATTTAATTAGAGAAGCTTTTAACTGCTTTTATGAATAATATATATTAAAAACAATATTGTTTGAAGAAGAAAAATTCTTAGGGAATATTGTTAAGTAAAACCATATTTACTAATCATATATTTCAAAGCTTATTGCAATCTGAAGACTGCCAACTATTTTAAAATGAATTTCAATTTGTTTTTATATATGTATATAGATATGATATATAGATGCAAAATTTCTGAAGTATGGATGTACAAAGCTATAAATCTATTCTTAAAAGATCATCTTTTAAGGGTTGTTCCCCCCCCCACCTTATGAAACTGATTGTCTGCTACACCATACTTAACTATGAACACATTTGGTGGTCAATCTGCTGTCAATAAAACAATTAATATATCAGAAAAACAAGACCCGTGGTTAGGAAATGTTTGTATACAATATTTTATGCTATCAGTAAGTAATATTTGTTTCAAATCAGATTAACTTAACTTTGAATTTTCTAATTTTCCTCAAATAACATTCCAGAAATATATAGTTTATTTTTACAAGATTTTTAAAATAGAAAATTAAGTTTTGCTTACAAATGTCTAAAAAATGGCTGATGTTATTGATTTTACAGGAAAAAATATGCAAGTCTATTCCAATCAATATAATTTCTGTCTGAAATGCACCAAAGTATTTTGCATGCTGGGTATAGTAAATTTAATCCTTTAGCTTTCATTTAAGGCTAAATTGAAAGCTTCAGGAAAGCTTTTTCATCTTTAAAAATTTTTTTTTAAACCTTACATATATCCAATTTGTGGTGCTACCTATAATTATATCTAGTTAGCAACTTGACGTGGAGTATAATGCATTTTTTTAAAAATTCATTGTGGCAATTTGGTTGATAAATTTCAAGTCTGAAAATTTATTTCATTTTTCAGTGTGTGTGTTATTTACACAAGATCCTGGAAGCAAGAAATGGACAGAGGTAATTTCCAGCTTCTCTCTTATCTTTTAATTTGATGATTATTTTGAGATTTACATCAAATAGCTGCTGATTGTTAATGTGTGATGAAATTGGAACTTTCAAAATTTATATTCTACAAATGAAATCTGGAGACAAGCTCATTTTGTGCTTACATCATTTAGCATATATCAGATGTTTAAATACTTGAGTACAGTAGAAAACTCAAATCATGCACAATAATGACTTGTTTATTTTGGAGGGAATCTTTGAATGTTTTCTGAGATATTTCTTTGTAAGATTTATTTATTTATTTATTTGCTTGTATATGCTAGAACAAAAAAAAATCAAATAAAACCATGCAGTTACTTACTCATTATTAAAATGTTGTCATTTTCAGTATTTGAGAAATATTTTTTATTTATGTAAACTTCAGAAATTAATTTGGAAGAAACTAACAACTAACATAAATATTGGGTTGGAACCAAAGTTTTTCCATTCTTAAAGTAAATTTCAAAGACAATATTTAGATATTTGTACATCACTTTTTTCAGATGCAGACTCATTTTTAGAGTGGTTAATGATCTTTCATTTAATTTCCCCCACAACTTTTTTTATCCATATTTTTATAAAAAAATTCATTGTTCATTACCTGTGATCCTTCTTCTCAGAAACAGGCTGTTTTGTTGAGTTTTAATCTGATAATCACAGATAGTAATGTGGCCCATTAAATTTTCCCCATTAAATCGTTATTCACCCAAACATCATAGCTATTTACAAAGTGTTTCCAAATGTTTTACAATGTTCATGTAAGCTATGTGAGATGTGCTGTTTTTTTGTGATTGAGGTTATTTTTAAACAGTGCTTCAGTTTGGTCATCAACATCTGTGGGCATACTGAAATATTCTGTCTTCCAGATCAAAATTTTCACTTTTAAATCTAGTGAACCACTTCTGAACAGTACTATAATCTATGACACCATTTTCATAAACTGCACATGCCATTGTTTTTTTTTGTTTTTTTTGCTGTTTGTACAGCATTTTCCCTTTCCAGAAATAAGAGCCTCAAATAACAAAAATGCCACCTGATTTGCCCTTATTTTTGTTTTTAATTTAAAAACATTTAAAATTCACAATCTACGCATGAATTATAGAAAGTCATGTTGAAATGTCACATTTCAGAATATGTATATATCTCATGAAATTCAGTCATGTGGGAGACAAAATCACATGTTCAAACACTACTTATTAAAAATCACTACAAATATTCCATTCAACCTAATGTTATATGCTGTGAAATATTTCCACTTTCACTGGATTTGTTACATAGCTTATTTTTCTATTAAAGTCATTATTTATTAAAACTAGATATGCATATTTGCATGCTTCTGAATTATATTTATAGTAATTTCAATTTAAAATTGGAAAAATAAAAGTCATGTATCCTTATTTAATATTTTGTGAAGTTAAAAAGGTGACTCTTTTGGAGTTAGAAAGCAGGCAAATCAAAAAGGCATTTGAATGGTTCAGATAGAATGATAATACTAGTCGTTATCTTTTTTGAATACTTTTCCTTTAGAGATTTTTTTCTCTCAGGAAAGCATTTAACTCATTGTATGTCATCATTGGAAGCTTATGCTTTCTTGTTGAATATTTTTCAAGAATGTTAGCTTGCACTTAAATTATCAAGCTTAGTGCTTAATAAAATTTACTTTGTTCAGAAAATTGTTTTTCTGCTCACTTGAATTTGACTATATTAAATAAAAATTATCTAAATTTAATACATTTATTTTGCAATATAACTATTTACATGTTAATGAAAATAATTCTGATTGATTCTTGAATTTGACACATGACAATTTGTTTTAAATCCTTTAGTTTGGACGGACAGAAATTATCTGGAATAACCTAAATCCAGATTTTGTTAAAAAATTCATCATTCATTACTTCTTTGAAGAAAGTCAAAAACTGAAATTTGAAATGTAAGTAAGATTTTCCTTTATTTACTCTTTGAAACTTTGTTACATTTAGAGATCATCAGAATTTTCATATTCAAAATCAATCCATTATTCAATGTATGGTTTGTTTCTTTATGTCATGTTTAGAAGAATTAATTTTGTTGTTTATTTTATATATTTTAAAATCATTGTTTATAATGATATAATATGTGAGGTAGATAATATAGTGAATGTCAGGAAAAATTTTCTTTAGTGTGAGTGTGTGCATAAACAATTATAATAATTTAATATCTGTCTATATTTCTGAGATGAGGTATTATGTACACTATTTACATTGTTCGAATTATTGTCCTCATCTTTGTTGCCATATTTCAGGAGATAACTGATAACTGACATCCATCAGACATGGCATGTGGAATGAGAACAGTCTACCCCAGCAAGCAAAATAAAGGGTTCAGTTCGACATTCCAACCACCTGAAGAAGGCCAGAGTGTACAATGGCTGAAACATTGTGATAAATATGGCAACAAAGATAAGGACTATAGTCCGAACAATGTAAATAGTCTAAATAATTTGATAAGAGGAAAACTAAGCTAAAAATGATCAAAGAAGAATTCTTGGAAATGATATTGGTTTTTGTTGCATTTATTTTGTTATCTAATGTTGTCATTGTGGACCAAAGAGGTGATGGATATACTAATTTTTAATATGAGACAAGTCATTGTTCAGTATATGTAGTTAACCTGAGAAAATCCATGGAATGCAAATATTCAAAAATTTAATACTGCATAATAAATAAATAAGCATAATTTTCATAAAACAGTGACAAAAAATACACATGCATTGAATGGGCATATCTTAAAAACAAGGCTATAAAGAATAAAATTTCTGCAAAATACACTTTTTAACTATATTTCGTACTTCATTATTTTTTTTCTTTATTGCATATATTTTCACATAAACTCTAGCACTATGGATAAACCTTCTAATAGAATTCTGTTTTGGAAACTATTTTATTCTCAACCATGTTTACCATTCTTTCAAAAAAAAATTTTAGACAAAATAAAGAAAATATTCACAATTATGGATTTGCTTTTGTTCTGAGATTTTCTTATAGCTTAAAACTATATTATTGTTGAACTATTTTTGTCAGTTTTGACTTAATATCTATGAAATACATACACTTTAGCAAATATGTAATCTAAATAAAACATTACACACACACACACACACACATCTCCAAATGTAATGAGAACGAAAAGAATATAAATTCAAATGTTCAAAACATTAATTTAAGAGGGCTCAGTACCAAGAGTAAAGCAATAGTTATTTATTATGAGTTGCTACATACAAACAAATAAACACTAGAAAGATGCATATTTGTTTTGATGTTTAAAGGTAAGCATCTCATCAGGTGAGGAACAAAGATGGTTATGGGTAACCATCTTTGTTCCTCACTTGATGAGATGCTTACCTTTAGGCATCAAAACAAATATGCATTTTTATAGTGTTTATTTGTCTGTATGCAACAACTTACATATATAAATTTAGAATAACTTTATATTCTAATGTATTTTATATCCAATTCTTTATTTTGTTTTTCTAGCTATGATGTTGACTCCAAAAGTGCCAAACTAGATAAGCATGTAAGTATATTTAGAACTATTCATTTTGATAATTTGTTCTTTATACAGTTAAAAATAATGTGTAAAAAAAAAAAAAAAGAAAAATGAATATCTTAAATTGCAAATGAAAGATACTTTTCTACCAATGATTCGTGTTTATTATCTGCTCAATATCCAGTCATTCTTTTCTTAGCTGGTATTGGGAAGGCGAGAGAGAGAGAGAGCAAAGGGTGGAAAAGGGGGTTTCAAACAGAAAAGATAGAAAGCAAGAAATCTAAAGAAAAGATAACCAGATGAAAAGAAAAATAAATACAGGAGCACAAAAAGAGGAAGAAATAAGGATGAAAGAAAGGCATACAGAGCAACAGATTTGCTGGTTAGATTTAAAGAGACAATGTGTGAAAGCTTGAAAAGCAGGCAGGGATGGCATGGCATCAAAATGGCGATACATCAAAATTCTTTATACAGTGATAGAGCAAAAAGAAAAATATAGATGGAAAACAAAGATTTGAAGAGATGAGAAAATACAAAATGTGAAATAAAAGCAGTGATATAAGCTAATGGATGATCTTAGTTATATTGAAAGAGATAAGGAAGTGAATAAGATACAAGTAAAAGAGAAACGCAAAGGCATGAAATAATGGATGAGTTTAGTTATATTGGAAGGAATAAGGGAAAGAAACATACAAAGAGGGGGGGGAAAAAAGAGCAGAGATATGAGATAATGGATAATGTTAATTGTCAACACCCATGAAATTTCCATGTGTTCAGCAAGTTTCCATTATTTTCTCAATACCAATATTTGATGTTAGTACTTGTGTGTGTATGTATACATATTTGCAAAGTATATATAATATAAATATGAAGCTGAGAAAAATTGATACAGGAAATTGAAAAAATGCACACATATATATATATATATATATATATATATATATATATATATATATATATATATGTGCTTGTACAATGACTTAGCACATATCTTTTTAATAACAATTTCCTTTAGCTTTTTTTTTCAAATTTGGGCAAGCTGAAGAAAAAGATGGAAAGAAATTTGCTCACCTTAGTTAAAAGAAAACTTTGAGTTCAAAGAGATTGACCAGCGAGCTGAAAAAAAAAGACAAAACAAATTTGTGAGTCTATGTGAAATTTACTTTAGACCAATGAAATGAATTTTTACAAGATATTTTTTTTTTTATAATTTTAATTGCAATAATTTATAAAGTTGTTAAATCTTAAAATTCAATTTCAATGTACTTTTATTGAACAAAACTATTTTTACTAATTATACATCTAAAAGCTTATTACAATCTGCAAATGGCCAGTATTTAAAAAAAAAAAAAAAAAAAAGAAAGAATTTTACATTGTTTCTGTCTTTTTCAGATCATTTTTTTTTTTTTTTTTTCTAAAGCTAAATGTATTAAATAATAACTCTCTTTACACATTACTTTCAAATTCGGGCAAGCTGAGGAAAAACATAAAGAAATTTGTGAGCCTGTGTGAAATTTTCTTTGGACCAATGAAAACTTTGAGTTCAAAGAGATTGGCCCATGAGCTGAAGAAAAAGAAAAAACAAATTCACAAGCTTATGTGAAATTTTCTTTGGACCAATGAAAACATTTTTACAGGAATTAGCTGTGGAGCCTAGAAAAAAAAAAGAAAATAACAATCCTATGCAAAATTCTTTTTGCTATAAAATAAGGAGAAAAATTAAATCAACAAGAGCATCCAAAGTCATATGAAAAGTTTCATTTCTGTTCACACATCCAGTGTTCTGATTTTTACTAGTGTCAAATTACTCACCGATTATATTATCAGCCTTAACAAAGCACTTGGTATTTCAAAGAACTTTATTTCCACTATACAAGAAAACTAAGTATTTCTTGTCATTACTATCCATCATTAATCTTCTTGGTGTAGATAAACCAACTGTTCATTTTAACCCTGATGTCCCCCACCACTATAGAACAACAAAGAAGACTTTTAGCAACTGAAGATAAAGTAAATGCAAGAGGTTCTCTAAGGAGAGCTATGGAGGATACCTGAACAGAGAGAGAAACATATTTCCAGCCCAAAAGTGTACAAAATTCTTTACATTGTGCAGTTGAAACATCAGAACAAAGGTAAGAAAGACTAGGTGCAGAAGATCAGAGACAGGAAATGCTTTGGAAGGAAAGAGCTAGGTCCACTGCTCACAAACAGCTGAGACTCTTGAGCAAAGACAGGAAAGATTGCAGGCTAATAGAGCTAGGTCTGTTGTTAGCAGAGCAATTGAGGATCCCGAGGAAAGAGATGAAAGACTACAAGCCGATAGAATCTTGAGGGCTGCTAACAGATCAGCTGAAATTCCTAAACAAAGGTAAGATAAGCAGCATGTTGGCAGAACTAGGGAATAGAGAAGAGCTGCCCTTAATCTGGGTACAATGACACTGTGCTGCCTTTAATTATCAGACTGAAAAGGCTCCATGTCTGAAGTCTGTGGTAAATGTGAAGCCAAGAGTTTTGAAGGAGAAACTACTGGAATGTGTCGTTTGAGTGACAGTCAGGATTTCATTATTGGAAGGTGCACCACAGCCTTTGAAGCTTCTTTTAGGCATCACTCTAGTCAAAACCCTTTCTGGAAAACATTACAAAATACAATTGTGCTTTTCAAATGACTTCTTTCAGGGCTAACATTATTAGGGAAGGTGGTTTCATGCCAACTTTTAAAGTGCAGGGTTAGGTGCACCATGGGATTGGATCCCCATGGCAACTAACAAATGAAGAGCCACAAATTCAGTTCTATTTTGTTGGCAACTTCCAAGAATAAGTGGCCAAGCATAATTCTATTTCACTTGGCACCAGGCTCAAGCTTACACTGAGATCGCAAGAGATGATACATTGTAGAAATAACTGTCAAAAGCTTTAAATGTGCTCTGGAAGCTGCTCCTACTCACAACTTTAATGTGATCATTGATGCAGGCAAGCGACCTTCTGGACAGCATCTGGGACGGTTTAATGAACCCTCCTGCAGCAAAATAGCATTGGTTCTCGATGCTAACCAACACAACAAGCGAGACATTGTTCTAAAGCAATGGAACAACATGAGACATTAATGAGATCTTATGATGCTCTTTAGTATCCTCTGTTATTTGTTAATGGGAAAGATGGTAACTATTTGGGGTATTCGGTCAGTCAGGTATGTGCCATGCATGATACACGCTTAGGCGATCATGTATCTTTCGATACATAACTGACAAGGCAGATTTTTTCCCACAGTAGGTTGCCATTTCTTTCTTCGGTAGACCAGTTGCCATCCAAGGCTATAGAACGCAGTCTGTCCTAATTACCTATAGCTGGGGAGAGAACAGAATTCATACCTTTCCCCAAGGGTATTAGTAGAGTTGGTGGGTTTAGCAATTTATGTTTTGATATCAGTACCCATTTTTTTTCCCTTTTATACTGCAGTTTTCAGTTCGGTTTTTAATTTAGTATTTTTGCTTTTTAAGGAAGCCATTCATTTTCTTGTGTAATGATAGCATTTCCAGTTGATATCTGATTTTGTTTGAGATTGATAAATTTGCAACTTAGTCTGTTCAACACACAAATTCTTGTGTATTTCTGGTCCAATCTTAAAAATATTCATATGGCTGGAAAGAAAAGAAAATCTTTCTAAATATGTAATTTGTATGCACTTTTATTCATTGAATTATTTTTTTGCAGCGAGTTAAAACAGTATTTTGCTTTGAACAGCTGAAAATGTGAAATATGATTTTTTTTTTTTTTTTTTTTTTTTTTTGAGACTAAATTTTTACATGTTACTTTGTTTCATGAAATCAAAGTGACCAACCAATCTTTATCAATATTCTTGAAATTGTATGCTCATTTGAAGGCACCTTAAACTACAACCAGGAAGATGTTCATTTCTTCTCTGACCCGTGGAAGTAAATCCCTACAAAAATTATAAAGTAAGCAAAAAAAAAAAAAAGCAACTGATAGTATGTGTGGTAAAAGAACTTTCAATGAACTATTGTCCTGTTGTGTAAGCACTCCATATACTATTTGACTTTTGAGTGTTGTTTTTTTTTTTTTTTTAAATGTCTGTCATTGTGGAATTCTGTTAACAGGTGCGTAAAGGGGGTCAGTATTTTATATATATATATATATATATATATATATATATATATATATATATATATATATATATATATATATACATGCATAAAGTAAAGACCACTGAAATTCAAAACCTGAAAAATTGATAAAGATATTTGTAAAAATAAAATGAATTAATTTTCCTTGTCTAGAAGAATTTTATAGGCAGAACACCCACTGAACACTAAAGGCTAAAAAAGAATAATTTTTACTTTGGGTTTTAAAAAAAAATGATTTGCAATTTTGAAAATATATACATTTTAAAACTGAGATTAAAACTTACTTTATTTTTTTGATATCTAATTTTAGATGTAGTCACTAGATGAAAACATAATTTTATTTGTAGAAAACAAACAATTTTTACAATTGAGACTCGCATATCTGGAAATATATACATTTTAAAAGTGAAATTAAGAACTATTTTAATTATTCTTAATATCTAATTTAGGTGCACTCCCTAAATAAAAAATAAATTTATTCATAAAAAAAGAATCTTCATTCATTGTTCTTGTTTACAACAACTTTATTTTGTGATTGGCGTAACACTGGCTTCTTGCGAGAAAGAAAGCTATTACAAAAAATCCAACTTCATAAAATTTAACATTAAGATGAAACTGGCAACTATTTTTTTTTTGTTAACTTAATTTTACCACAAGTCATCTTTTTGGTTAAACCACCCATCTCTGGGTATTAGCATGTAAGTGAATGTAATGGATTCAACTGGAATTTGAACTTGGCTCTCCGATTTCTCAATCCAAGCCACTATCCATTACTCTACCATGCCTCTGTTATTTTGGTATTAAACATCGTAATCCAAGTAATCTGTTGGATATGTTAAAGAAGTAATACTGTCAGGAATTCTATGCACATTGTTTTATGACATATAGCAACTCAATCAACTTCATCACTCTCAAGATCTTTTTCATCAATATGCTGTTGATATGGCTGCTAAAATGGAGTCTGAGAGCCTGTGTTTCATTAGAAACAATCAAAAGCAACTGCAATCAGAGAATTATATTCATCTGAAAGATGCCATAAACAATGATGTAGTACCTGGCAAACTTGGGAAGCTCTGCATTCTACCATCAATCTTTACAGGAGGGCCTCAATACATGCATGAAAGAACACAGGACGTCATGACCTATGTATGCCACTATGGTAGGCCAAATTTCTTCGTAACCTTTACATGCAACCCAAAGTGGAAGGAAATTGAAGACACTTTTTCTGTACCAAAAGGCCAAAGATAGACCTGACTTCCTTGCCAGAGTCTTTTGTCAGAAGTTGGAGAAGCTCATGTATCTGAAAGCATTTGGGTCCATAAAGTATGACATGTACACAACTGAGTGACAAAAACGGCGGCTACCATATGCTCACATTCTGCTTATACTGGCAACAATAAATTGACAAGACAATCTTGGCAGAGTTTCCAAATCCATCAACAAGGATATCTGTGAAATTGTTAAGTGGTACATGGATCATGTGGGAAAGGATTTAATCTCAACTCACCATGTCTGAAGAACAATGCTCATAGTTTCCCAAGAGATTTCTTACGGAAACACAAACTGATAATGACTGATACTCTTCTTACAAGCATAGACACCCAGATGATGGTCAGCATTCAGCAAAGTTTGGATAATGTGAGGTTGACAACTGGTGGATAGTACCTTATTGTCCCTTGCTGTCAAAGACATTTAATGCCCACATTAATGTTGAGTTTTTCAACTCGGTGAAATCCATCAAGTATGTTTGCAAGTACGTTACCAAGGGATCAGATGTGGTCATGTTTGGCTTGCAGCAGGAAAATAGCCAAGATGAGGTAAACCAGTATCAAATGGGCAGATATATCAGTAGTAATCAGGAATTTTAGTGCATGTTTGGCTTCCCGCTACATGAAAGACACCTGGCTATTGTGCAACTTGCAGTACATTTGGAAAATGGTCAACATGTCTACTTCATTGAAGCAAATGCTGTTCAGGTAGCACATATACCCAATGATACTACACTCACAGTTTTCTTCAAGCTGTTCCAAAATGATCTTTTTGCTAGCACACTGTTGTACTCTCAAGTGCCATCTTCTTATGCCTGGAAAGGCAAAAAGAAATGGGTGTGTAGATTGATAGGTCAAAAAGTATCAGAGCACACTGTCATTAAGTTTGATGAGTGCTTAGGTAGAGTGTACACTGTACATCCTAGCCAACATGAATACTTTTATCTTTGTCTCCTTCATAAAGTTCAAAGCCCAACATCCTTCCAGGATCTTAAAAACAGACTGGTTTTTACAACCTACCGAGAAGCATGCTTGTGTCAAGGTTTACTTGAAGATAATGTCCAGTTGGATGCAACAATGGCTGAAACTACTGTCTCACAATCTCCTGGGAATCTTAGATTGCTCTCTTTGTATTCCTATTGCAAACATGCAAAGTAAATGATCCTGCCTCTTGTAGCATAAGTATAGAGATAGTTTATCTGAAGACTTTAAGCTAACTTCAATTTCCAGTTATGGAAATCGATTTCAGTGAGGAAATTTACAACAGGGCGTTAATCATTATAGAAAACTGTCATTTTCTATTGGAGGGAATCTATTACTGGCATATGGGTTGCCTAAAACTCATCAAACTGGGACCGGTGCCTTACCCACAGAGGTGTTGAGAGAAACATCATGACATCAATGCCCTGTATGCATATGTTGATGAAAATGAGTGAAGATTGCTTCTGGACCAAAGGAGAGCTTATGATACTGTTGTTAAGTGTCTGCTTCTCCAAAGGTGGAATTTTCTACCTGGAAGGACAAGAAAGACATTTGTTACTAAGCTGCTTTTGGCCAAAGTTCAATAACACAAGGATATAACTTTGGTAGTGACCTCATCTGGTATTGCTGTAACTTTGCTACCTGGTAGCTGAATTGCATATTCAACTTTTAAACTTCCATTTGATTTTACTTCATCTGATAATCCAATTTGTGGTATCAGCAAAGCCTCTGAAATAGCCCAAGTGCTAAAAAGGTGCTGGTTCATCGTATGGGATGAATGTACCATGGCACACAGGTCAGATCTGGAAGCATTGGACCAAATCATAAGAGATATTAAGGATTCTCAGTTGCTTATGGGACATATAACACACCTGCTATATGGAGACTATAGGCAGACACTACCAGTCTTACCAAAAGGGATCAGAGCAGATGAAGTCAGAGCATGTCTCAAATCTTCTCTGTTGCGGCAACATATTCGAACATTGACTTTGAGCACCAACATGCTAGCACAATTATTTAGAGATCAGCTGTCAGCTCAGTTCTCCTGCAACATTTTGAGACTTGGCAATGGCAATGTACCTTTAGATGCCAATGTTGTTATTACTGCTGATGAGCTTATGGCCAAGGTTTTCCCAAACCTCCAACATAATTACAAAAACTACAATTGGTTCTGACAGGGCAATACTGGCTCCAAAGAACAAAGCAGTTGACAGAATCAATGACCAACTGTTGGAATCACTCCCAGAAATATCTCCTGTCTACGGGTCAGTGGCTACCATTCCAGATCTGAATTCTTTCGAACTACCTTTACATAGACTGGAACTAAAGATGGGGGTGCCTGTAATGCTATTACGGAATCTGGAGCCACCAAGACTTTGTAATGGCACCAGACTGGTGGTTAAAAAGTTGATGCCACATGTAAATGAGGCATCTGATTTTACTGGGCATGGAAAAGTGAATAGGTCTTTATTCCCAGGATTCCCCTTATTCCATCACAGTCAGATATTCCATTCATGTTTTTTTGAGACTTCAGTTTCCAATACAAATAATTTTTGCTATATCTATTAACAAAGCACAAGACAAGATTTTATCAGTTACTGGACAACAGTTAGAAAATCCTGTTTTTCTCCTGGACAGTTGTATGTTGCTTGTTCATGTGTGGGAAGAAAAACAAAATTGTTTATGCTCCACAAGGAAAAACAAAGAATATTGTCTACCAAGAAGTATTGTAGTGTAAAAACTATTTAAAGATATTTCTCTGTTTGAATAAATGAATTTGAAGTTATATTGTTGTTATAGATTTATTTTTAACTTTTTAAATCCCAGGCAATGCGAAGTACCTCTACTAGAATATTACAAAGTATACCATATAAAAAAAAAAAAGAACTGAGCTGCCAAAAATTTAGAGACAGCAGTACACTGAATGGTTTTGATCTATCAACTTTTAGAAGTGGATTCGGATGGGGGGGGTGTATATATGATGGACTCTCCCAATGATTTTTGACATATCAGGATCTGACAACTTCATTCAGTTTTTATGTTTGTGTCATATATGACACTTCAGTCTCACTTGTGACCTGCATACAAGTCCACATATTGGGCAACAACAAGGATCTCAGGATGTAGCCACAGGAATATTTGCTGACACTTTTTGCCATTGTCTTTCATTTTTTTTAACTGGTCAATACAACTGATTCTTAAAAATTTCTGATACCACTCTGGTACAAATACTTCCAGTTATTTCTTTCCAAGGCAATTCTCTCAAAGTTAATATGAGGCACATTGACAGCTGAGAGGTTACTCTTTATGCCTGAGCTATGAATGGCCAACAGTCGTTTGTTCACTGTCAAGCAGGCTATACATGAGGACCTTAGGTATTCTGTTGTCACTCATCCTTGCAACATGACCAGCCCAGTGAAGGTGTGACTGCATCAGGAAGGTCTCAATTCCACCAAGAATCAGTATTGGGCACCTTATCATCAAACAAAAAATATGACAGCTAAAGAGATAGTGTGGTTGTGGGAACCATAGGATTTAACACTATTATGATTTGAATTGCATAGTTGTTATTAAGATGTTTAACTTTCTTATCAGTTTGAGCACTGACACTTGCCTATTTTGAGTTGCAATTTTCTTTACAGGATTTCCTTGGAAAACTGGAATGTACTCTAGCAGAAATTGTAATTGCTAACCGACTTGTAAAAAGATTACAGTAAGTATTATGTTTTCTTGAATCCGTAGTTATCTTTTCATTTAATTGATTACTATTAGATTTTAATTAATATATTGGTTTTCATTAACTAGTTGTACATTAGATGTGACCCAAGGTACACATTAAATTTGCTATTTTCTTATGAATGCTTTCATTAAAATTGCACTTCTTTATCTTACCTACTTCTGAAACTTAACAAAAATCATCTTGTATTTACTTTCATTAATCTGTTGCTTTGGAATGTGACTTAAAAGTTCAGTCATTGATCTTCTGACAGCCTTCATCATCAACAGATGGTGTGGTCACAATATTTTCAAAAAACTAACACTGAATTAAAAGAATGCATCATGATTATTTCAGGTTGTCTTCTCCTGCACTTTTTTTTTCTTTTTCTTTTTTTTCTTTCTTGCATGCACGGAATCTAAGATTTTTAACATTTGAATGCTTGTTGTGTCTGAAATATTCTGAATGTTATACAAAACCAATGCATACATATATCCTAAATAAAAGGAATACAGTCACAGTTACTTGTTGCCTTTATAGTTTTTAACAACCATACTACTATTGAAAATTTTTTCCACTTTTAAAACCTTTTAACTGTGTTTTCTTTTTTTTTCTTTTTACTCAGATCAAAAAGTAGCTTAAATCCTTTAAGTAAAACTTCAATGTTTTTCTACTTTCAGACATTAAAATTAAATCCTCTGTGACCCAAATGCATCCATATTTTGTCATTAGTAACCAATTACTAAACAATTTTGATCATGTTTTTAGACTTCCTGATGTTGTCAATCTGGAGGGGGGGATGACCACAGCATGCGGCAACTTTGGAAAGTGCCTGAAAACCATACCATGGGTGGACCAAGTCTTGTGAGTGAAATTGGGTAGATGGGACACTTGGGTTTGTTGATAGCTGTGCTAGCACAAAGTCACAAGTCATCGTGGTTGAGGGTTTGAGTGTGCCGGTGTTGTTCAGATTATTGATCATTCTAAATAACAAGCTCGCTTTCAGAAACTTAACTAAGGTCTGCTTAGCATAGTTGCAGTATAAACCACAGGTTGGCTCTGTGGGTGTTGAACAAACACAAATGTGCCTGAGCAAGAGTCTGCAATAGGGATTAGCTAGCTGCCCTAGTAGACGGGTATCCTTGTATACAAGTGGCCAGCTGTTTATATATATATATATATATATATAATAATAAAAAAGCTTAAACACTAATATTCCATGGTCATAATTTATTCCATTGGAATCGTAAATATGATCCAATTCATCAGACCTACAAATTCAAAAAGAAAACAAAAAAGAACAGCTCTGGAATTAAAAATAGAATTTGGAGAGAGTGTAAGTATGAGAGTGTGGGACGAATGTTAGTGTTAAAGAGAGGGGTAATAGACGGAGAAGGTGGGAGACTAAAACTTAACAGAGAGGGTTTTTTCTAACTAGAGGTGAGTGGAAGGGGGAAATATGAATGTTGTCGGATGTCTAATACATTAAAGATACATTTCGTGGTGACATACACACACCATAGACGATTTAATGTTAAAGATCAGAATAGGAGGGAGGGAGAGAAAAGGAAAGAAGAGGTGGGGGAGAGAGATGGGTCGGGGGAAACCAAAATTGAAGGACATTTACTCAAAGGGCCGCTGTGTAATTGAGAAAATTTGACAAAATTAATATCGACTACAGGTTACAAATCAAATATAAACATATAAAGAATAAATATAACGATTATCTAATCTAGCAAGGACCTATATTTTTATGTTCAAAAACACATGCGAATCCACACATACACAATAACATATACACGTATATACATACACATAGGCGTGTATCCACATACACACATACATATACCCATGTACACACATGCACATATATCCACATATCCGCATAAATACACACATACACATACATACACACACATATATATATATATATATATATATATATATATACACATATACATATATCTGATTCAATATGTTAGCTCTATCTCTGATACTGAGCGCTTTCTAATAAGTACCGCGCATATAATATACAAATAATTACACCTACATATATACATATACACACATACCTGGATTCTATCCTCTGGGAATTTTTTACTCAAAAAATATACATGTATGTGTATGCACCTATGTATATATATATCTATATATTTTGCATATGTATGTGTATATTTACCACTAATATTATCTATCTATCTATCTATCTATCTATCTATATATATATATATATATATATATATGTTGTAACAGCAAAATTGGCCAATTGTTAGATGATTAAAGATATCTTACTGGAATTCTCAAAGATTTTTTTATTGGACTCTATTTTGAACAGCAAGAATGTATAATTACTCTCTAAGCTTAACAAAAGAATCATAATGAAATAGATCATAAACAGAAATGACATGTTCATTAATTAATCATAGCTAAGGATTGGAAGCTCAAATGAAAGCTTATTTCTAATTGATAAGAACAATTCTAGTACAAGTTCAAACTATTAGGCATCAAGAGTTGCTCTACCTTTGGCAATGACATCCTCAACCCTCTTCCTGAATTCATCCCACAAGCTTTTTTCAAGAATTCTTCTACAGTGTTGTCTACCCAGGTCTTATTGATGGATTTTTTTAAGGGCTTGCAGGTTACTAGATGCTAAAGTCTAAGGGGTTTAAATCGAGCAATGAAGTTTCCTTATTCCAAGATCTGTTCGAAAACTCATCCTTGTGAAATTTTTGAGCTACTGCACTCATGTGACAAGAAGTTCCATCCTGCTGGAATGTAAATTTGAAGGCCTTATTGATCTTGTTGGAGTTTTGACTGTCTCTAGCCTCAGGATATTCAGAAAGAATCCGGGACCATTTTCAGAATTTGAACATAGTGAACTCTTGTCAGTCTCTCATCTGTCTCAAACATGATCAATGGCATCTTCTTGCCATCAGAGTCCACACAGGCAAAAACCTCGGCTGGGTTTTTGCACTTGAAAATGACATTCTTCTCTCTCTCTCTCTCTCTCATGAGGATCTAAAGCCAGAACATGGCCGTTGCATATGTTTGTGTATGCATCCTGTGTAAAAAATTACTTTCAAGTCTTTTTTCACTGCTCATTGGACTGTCATAGATGAAACTCCACTCGCGTGCCAAATGCCTTATGGATTGAGTTAGAGCTAAAGAGATCAATTAGAAAAGATCCAAGTTGAAATGATGATCCCTCTTTATATTGTTACCACCTGGTCCAGTTTTCCTCTCTATTCTTCCCTCTTTTTTATACTTATTCCCCGTTCTCTTGATGACTCTTGAATGGACTTTAGAAGCCACTGTATGAATGTTGGTAACAACATTTTCCTCTAACCATTGCTCAGTTGAGAAGATATAGTGGGGCTGGCACAAAATGATTTTGACCTGTTCTCTTTCTAGCTGAATAACTCAGTTTTTTAGTGATTCTTACGACAAATGGTGTCAAGATGACTAAACATCTTATCTGAAAACCTAGAAAAAAGAAACAATTAGTTTAGTGTTTTTTTTTTTTTTTTTTAGATATTAAACATTTTGTGTAATGCTGTTACATGATTTAGACAATTTTGCTGTTACACCGTGTGTGTGTGTGTGTGTATATATATATATATATATATGCTATTTCTCTGATATTGAGCACTTTATCCCATAAATATAGCACACTTTAAAACTATCTCTGCACATATATATATGCATGCTTATCTATAGATTCAGCACTACAACAATAAATTGCTCATATTTTGACAAGATATAAAATATTACATAAATGTTATCTTATATTGAACATTTTTTGAGAAAACCAAGTTTAGTCACCCGCAGAAAATAGCAGAAAAAGAATTTTGTCATTCTAGATGTCATTGACATTTTCACAAGACATTTTCTCTAAGAAATTTCTGATTTCTTATTGAAACTTTTCATAATTTTTTTCTGTATAAACCTAAAAAAATAATCAATTTCCTGAATAGGTTTTTAATCTTTTATCATATTTTGCCAGCTTTTAAACCTTTATGAACTCTGAATTACCTAGAATTACTCTTTCGTATACCATCATACACACTTGTGTTTTTCAGCACATTGTGTGAAATTGAATGAAATGAAACCTTGCTATATTTGTAACAATAATTCATGCTGTTTTAGATGTCAAGAGAAAAATTGGTTAAAGTTTGGCAAGGATTAAATTTATGATATTGTGGCCCCTGGGATTCTATCCTGTCTTTCTGTTTGGTATTCACTATTGGTCTCAATCACTTCAACCTAAGCCTTGCCTTATCCCACATTGCGTTCGATTTAGATCGTAAGACTGGCGAGGGTTGAATGTCAACAGGAATTGTTGAACTGGTCTGGACCAGACAGAGAAAAGTCATAATCCACAAGATAAGTTGTAAAAAAAAATAATATTTTATGTAATGTTTCTTATACATAGATGGTAATATGCATTTTGTTCTTCATTCAGAACTATAGGTTCTTCAGGCAGGTGTATCTTGACATGCAAGTTACTTGACCCTTTCCTCATTCAAATATTTCATGACACCGTGTTCGTTGTGACCGAGTCTAGACAAGTTCTCTGGAACACAGATTAAAGTTGGAGGCTTTCTTTAATAGCAGGAAGTCATGTGGAATGGTTATCTCTCACTCAGTTTTGGCCACTTCTGGTCCCAGCTGAATATGCCTCTGCTTTTTATGGGCCCTGGCTCTAACCCAGGGAGTGGTGGGGGTCTTCAAGTTTTCCTCAATTCTTGGAGTAATTAACCAAATTCTAACAAAGTTCCTTTGTTTAGAATTTTACTGCAACATCTTTAATTTTTCCGAATTTGGAAGTTATCTCATTCTGCAGATAAAGGACAAAGGCCCTGCACCTCCCTGTTACTCCTGCTGCCCACTAACGTTTCTGATTGGCAGAATCCACTCTCTCTTCCATCTACCTGAAACTAATATTTCCTCAGAGCCATATATTGATACTTCTACCTTTCAGTGGGTGGAGGCAACTCCATCTTTCCTTTCTCCCACCCCCTTAGTGTTTCACCCATTGCGATTCCTGGTCGGGGGGGGGGTAACTCCCCCTTTCCAATACACTCCCATACTTGGGACAGTCAGCCTGGCATCTGGTTTTTATTCATTTTCATGACATTGTTTTTGTATTTCAATTTTACCTGGGTTTATTTTGCCTGTCATGACAGTTCAGTGAGCACAAATCCATTGTTCTTTTATCTACCTTTTGGAATACACTTTCTCAGAATTTGGCCAAGTTTGAAATTTACCATATGACCCTTCATTTCTCGGTATTCCTGTCCCTGAGAAAATATATTCTTTCCTTTTAATGAAAATAGTTTTGCATTTTTGCCTTTTCTCTCTTATGACTGATTTTCTCATGACTTGTGGACAATTTCCTAACTGGGATTTCCTTTTAAACAGTGATATCTCTTGGTGATTCAACTTTGCCAAATTCATTCTTTTCTGTTGACAAGTGATAAAAAAAACGTAATTTTTTTTCTTCTTTATGACAAAAAAATCAGCTGTTCCAGCTCCTCCTTTCCCAGAATTTACAAAATCTGGTCACATATTTTTTTGGTATAGCTATTGATATAGCCACTGGCTCTTAAGGTGTCGCATCTCTTTCAGTATAGCTATCGAGCTATCTTTTCAACCCTTAGGGTGATACAAATTGATGCTATAGCCCAGTTTATTTATAGCAAATTCTTTGAAAAGTTAGTTATTCTTTTAATTTTATGTCTTAAAAAATATGTGAAAGGTGATTTAGCTAATAAATTATTTTACATTCTGGTCTTGTGATAGAATCAAACTACCACTAATCTGCTACTGAGTTTAAATCTGATCAACTCTGTTGCACATGATTGGTTGGTTTTTTTCTTGAAAGAAATTTATGATTGTATTTCTTTCATTTTAATAATTTGTTTATCATTGTTTCAGTTATATTGAAAGGTCTCAATCAGTGAATGGGTTAGAGGCATGTACTTTACACATTTGCTGTAAGGCTGGAGTTAATAAGAGGTTTTTAATTTTTCCCTTTTAACACTTCAATAATTCTTCTCAAACAATCATTGCATCAGGGTGCCAATTTAGGATGGAATCATATGAAGAAACTAAATAGCAAAAGCCAATTTTGGATGTTGCTTGTTGCAGATTTCATCCACTTAACTGAACTAATCTAAACCGAATATTCATGCAAGACAATTTGTGTATCATTTACATGGCAAATTTGGAAAACATTAGATAAAAATCCAGGGAGTTATGGCCCCAAAACAGCTTTTTGAGCAGTTTTTTTTTGTTTGTCATTATATGCGGGGAAGCGAGCAGGACTAAAACCACACTATCTTAATTCTTGCATGATGGAAAATTTTTTGCAATACGTTTGAAGAAAATTTGATTTAAAAAAAAAAAAAAATAAAAAAGCACGATTTTTTTTGTGTGTGTGAAGTCAATGTCACAGGAAAACTAAAAACACTCTACATAAATCTCATAACATGAGCTATGTTTTGCATTAAGTGCCAAGAACATCAGCTCATCCAGTAAAAATTTTGATCGTGTGTAACTTTGCCTTGGTTTTTGCAAAAAGTTGTATTCAGATTCAGTTTTAGTGATTTTTTTTTTTTTTTTTTTTCTGCCAAATCCGGGGGCTGAAGATTGAAAAGTTGGTCTTGAGTTATTTTGATAAATTTGTAACATGTGCATATAATTTCATCGAAATTGGTCAAGAAATGTGGACGTGCATAAAAAGCACACACAAACACCCACCCACCCACACACACACCTTCTGTTTCATAGATATAGATTTTGGTGGAATGATAGATAAGTGATTTTAAAGCAAATCTTATGAAGTATGATTATAATTTTGATTAAATAATAAAAAAAGTATCTTATATCTGTTCCCTATTTTTAAATAATCACTCTATATTAGAACTTCAATTTTTAGAATGCTTAATATTTGAGTGGTGTGACTGTTTGCTTGAAATAAATCTCTCTAGTTGTGTGTATAGCTGTGAAATTGTCATGAACTCCATGCCATATCATTTCCCTTCAGAGCCTCTGATGAAGATTGGGATGACAGGAAAAACAATGAAGGGTAAGACGAATTAGTGTGTGTTACATTCCTTTCTCTTTTTTTTTTTTAGTTTTATTCTTGCAATTGCTTCTCATCTTCTTTGCCCACAATTTTCTCTTTTTTGCTTTTACATATTACATCAGATTTTTTTTTATGAATCACTTTCCCAGTCCTTTGCAACCCTTTTAACTGAATGCACAAATCTAAAAAGATTCTACCTTATTTGTAAGTTTTTCTTTAATGTTTTTTTTTTTTTTTTTTTGCCAGTTTTATTTTGGAAGCAAAGAAAATATGTATATATGCCATAAAAGATCAAGTATTTAAGACTTAAACTACATGTCATCTTTTTTCAGTTTTAGTAATGATATTCTAAACATGACATGTATATTTAAAACTGATTTTTCTTACCTGAAATTATATTTTCATACACCTCCAAGTAAAAACAGAATTTTTAACATTTGCTGAGAAAAAGTGATTTTCAAGTTGTTTTTTTTTTATCTATATCTTCCTGCTATACACATGCAATTGTATAAACTTGAATTCAAATCAACCTGCTCTTAACTGATCTATGTAATTCTGTTAGTCAGCAATGAAAGTAAATTCATTTGTAACTGATTGCAAAAAAGAATTTCATTTAAATTATTTAAAATGAACAGATTAAAGTGAGAATTTATTTAATTTTGTATCAAATGTCCTGAAAAAGTGAAAAACAAATGTTGATAAAATCTATTCATTTGTTTTAAATTTTGAGATGACTAATATTCAGTGTAATTTTTAAATATATTTTTTATGTTATCCATAGTTAGTTCCTTTTGTGGCCTTCAGGTAGAATCTTGTTTAGTACCAAATTTGTTATTGATCAGTTTATAATCAGATTTGTGGGAAATACTAGATTGTCCTGGTACCTTCTTGTTGTATACTTTACAAGTTTTCAATTTATTTATTTTTTTGCTTTATGTCTACTACAGTAAGTTAAATTTTCCTCATTGTCTGCTTGCTTTTTCCTTCATTAGCTGTATTGTACTGTGGGACATCATAGACAGGTTAAGTTGCTTTTGGGATTATGTCCCTTTGGCTTCTATCATTCCACACTGAACTTATAAATAGGATTTTTCAAAAATATTTTAAGTAATTTTCTTTAATGTCCATATAGTACTGTGGGTAAGCTAACCTATTGTGCATTTTTTGATAAAAGCACCATATTTAGCACAGAAGTAGACCAATATATTATGAACAAATTTGGATGGGAAGTCATCACCTAACTGCTGCATAATGGCCATTTTCCAAAATGGCTGCCAGCAGACACCCAAAAGACAAACAGAAGTTAGACAAAGTTTTCTGTGGAAGGTTTTAGTGAATGTTTATTGAATGTTTTGAATCAAGACATGCCAGATAGATCTTAGTCACATTTTGGGAGATGTTGCTCATATTAATTAACATATTTAGGCTAATTGCAGATGAAATGGCAACAAGGAAACCCATGATCTGACATCAAATGCTTACATTCCTCATGAATAGCCTAGATTCATTTAAGTTGGGAGAGCAGACTACTTGTTCTTGGTGATAGAGGACAGGACCCAATCATAAGAGATAGAAAACGTCATGTGTGCCAACCTGTCAGTGAATTTTCGTGTGTGTGTGTGTGTGTGTGTAGCATTAAGCCAATGTAGGTTGGAACTGGCATCTCCTGCATTGTGGCATGCCTAACTGGGTGAGACCATACTGCCTGTGGTAGTCCATTGGTGCATGATACTATTGAACTTGAGGAGCTGGGTGATGCTCAATGCTGCTGGTGCTGTAGTTTCACTCTGGTGCTTGATACCAAGGCTTTCATTGAATGCAATCAGGATGTCATGTCCAGGGTGCTATGCACACGTTAGGAAAGTGAGTAAGCTGTCTCTACTTAAGACTGGTTGTGTGCACCCAGCTGACAGGCTTGACACCCAGCTGTTCCATCTTTGACTTGTATAACTGTACCAAAGGCGTCTTGTCATCCATTTCTTCAATAAACATTACCAGTTCTGCAAAAGCAATTCCTGCTAATGCGTGATTATTGTCTGTACCTTTGCCTGCCATTTCCTTAATCTTCTGTGTGCAATTGTACAAATTCAGGAGACAATTTCAATGGTACTTGGCCTTCTGTGCAACCATGTCTCCAGTGTTCAGTTGTGTCAGGAGGTCCATGTCATCTAGAATTGGTGCACACAACCTGACAGTGAGTCCAGTTTGAATGTTGCAGCTTCATGAAAACCAGCAATACCAGGAGCGTCTCTGCAGAAGAAGCATTTCAGTTCTTGGTGTTTCATCTCAGTACTTGATGATCGTGACAGATATCAAGTTCACTTGTGGGCACCAACTTCCTCTTCATTGGCACCTATTTTCAGATGCCTCTTCTCAGCTCTATCTAACTTTGTCTTGTTATACCTCAGCCTGTAGGTTTTTGGTGTTGTGCATTGTTGCTGCTTCAGAGCCACTGGCTTCATCTAATCAGTTCAACAGAAAAGAGTTTGGGAGCAATCTAAGCTCATTGAGCCTTCTCATATGTCCAGAAAGAATGCTGTAGCTGCTCCCTTTGTCTTGGGATGAACTTGTCAGCAATTCTGGCATCATTCCTTGACATATGAAACATAATGACTAGTCTGTCTCTGTTGCTGCTGGGAGGAGGTAGACTGAACTGCTTCTGCACCATGAGGCTCAACAAGTTTGAAGCTTTTCAGCATTGTCATTTTCCATTTCCAGAACAAAGTTGTATGAAAAAAGCACTTAGAATCAAAGTGAATTAGGACATGTTCAATTGAGAGATATTTCTCTTGGTTGTTATGCTAATCTATGAATAATTCAAAAATCTATAAGATTCTAAAAACACCTGGGCACCTTTTGTTGTTGTTAAGTGCTATCCTACATTAGCAACATAATGTTTGAACAACATTGCAGATTCAAAACAATCATTTTTCCTGCACATTTACTCAGTACATCTTGTTCATCTAGGGATAAATCTTCTTTGCCTGCAACATAGCAGCCATCTTCTAGGGGGCAGTTGGGTGATGGCTCCACATCAAAATTTATTCATTTATTCTGTGCCAAAATTGGTGCTCTTATCAAAAGATGCACAATAGGTTTGAATATCCTAGGTAAACCACCCCACTAATGTGATTTTATGTCAGTTATGACTTCAAGATAAATAGTCATTATCTTTTTCTTTTCAATCTCTGATTACATAATCTCTTTTTCTAAAACTTTCATTGTTATATTCATTACTGCAACTGTATGACATGTTGTACACAGTTTTAGGCCATAATGAATGTCTACCTTTGTGAGATAGCTGTATACAATGGAATTGTCCCAATAGGGCCTATAGTCTATTTGGATTTTACACAGCTCTGATTTAATTTATGACAGACATGAAATTGTGTAAAATAAAGATAAAACTGAAATGCTTAAGGGGTGGATAACTTGTTATGATGAGATTTGGAGATACACCAAGAAGGTATCAGGACAATATAACACAGCCCACAGATCTGATTAACAAACCAACTACAAATTCTGTAGCAGATAAAATTTTACTTAAAGAAAAAAAAATTCCTGGACTACAACATTTTAAAAAACAAAAAAAAAACAAAGGTGGGAATAGTTCTTTAAAACATTAACTTTAATTTGATTTAAAAGAAATGTGTATTTTTTTTTTTTTCTTTTAATGAACAATCTTTGCATAATTACAAATGTTGTTTAGGAAGCTCTGTAGAATATTATTATTATTCTCATGTAAAGTGTCAGAAAAACAATTGTTGCAACACATTTGACTTTATATTCAAGTTAGCAAAACTAAGAGATTCCATTTTGGAGCAGAAAGTTAAGCTGTAACTTTTACATTTGTAAATCAAAACAGTCAATCACATTTTATTTTGTAAAAATTAAACAAAATTTTAAAATAACTTACAAGACACTTCGTTACAAAAGTTCAAATTGAAGTGCACACTTATTTGTGTTTACTGGACTTATATAAGAATACATCAGGTGTTGCTGAGAAGTTTTTGTCTTTTCAAAAAACAAAAATTCTGATGTTTATTTGGGAAGTTGGTTGGGCTGAGTAATTTTCAGCATCCCACAATGATTTTGATAGCTGGAATTCTGAAAAAGAAGCATTTTATTTTGATACATTATATATATGCTTTACTGAGAAATTTAAATAGTTTGTTTCCATTTTTGTATTAACATTTACTTATAAATTACTTTCTGACCATTCTGTTTTTTCATTTTTTGTTGTCCACTATAAAAAAAAAAGGTCATGTTGCATTTTATACAATCTTTTTATTTTATTTGTAATAAATTAATTACAATGCAAATTCTGAAAACTTGAAATTTCTTTGCAAATTGCTTTTGTAGTTATAGTTGTTTTTTTTTTAATTACTTCAGTAATTTGTTCTCAATTCCAAAGCTAGAATTTTAGAATACCTAAAAAATAAGCAAACATTAGAATGTATTTGAATTTTATCACTTATCAAATCATTTCTACTGTATAGTGCTGAAAGATATTTTGAAATAATTTTCTTACAAATGAAAAATGAAGACTACCATTTTCCAATAATACCTGAGGCTAATTGATTCTGACAAATTTATCATGTCAGATTCTTATTTCACTTTTTTCTTTATATGAATGTGTTATGCCTCCAGTCACTGTCAAAATTTTTATTCTTTAAGATTTTTTTTATTATTTGCATTGATAGAACTAATATTTATATATAATATTCATATCAGATGTGAAGTAATGATTCAAATATTAGCAAATGTCTATTCACATGGATTTATGTACATAAAAACAATTTATTTTAAGAAATATTATTTACAGTATCAAATGTGCAGCTCAAATAATTATTTTTTGTTCAACTGCTATTTTTTTTTTTTCTTGCTTGTCTTGCTTCTCATCAACACCACATATGAAGCATGAAAATAGTAATGTTCAAGTCATAGTTTTGGTACTGGACACTTAGAGCTTTTAGTATTTATAACTTGCTTATACCATC